GGTTTGGCTCAGTGGATAGAGCATCGGCCTGCGGACTTAAGGGTCCCACGTTCGATTCCGGTCAAGGGCATATACCTTGGTTGCGGGCACATCCCCAGTAGGGAGTGTGCAGGAGGCAGCTGAATTGATGTTTCTCTCTCATCAATGTTTATAACTCTCTATCCCTCTCCCTCTCTGTAAAAAATCAATAAAATATATTTTTAAAAAAATACAGATTCCCTGACCCCACCCCAGACCTCTGAATTTGAATCTCCAGGACAGTTCTCAGGTGAATCTTAGAACTGGGTAAGTTGGAAAGACCTAACCTTATTTCTTTTTTTTTTTTTTTAAATATATTTTATTGATTTTTTACAGAGAGGAAGGGAGAGAGATAGAGAGTTAGAAACATCAATGAGAGAGAAACATCGATCAGCTGCCTCCTGCACATCTCCTACTGGGGATGTGCCCGCAACCCAGGTACATGCCCTTGACCGGAATCGAACCTGGGACCTTTCAGTCCACAGGCCGACGCTCTATCCACTGAGCCAAACCGGTTTCGGCAAACCTTATTTCATTTATAAGAATATCCAGAATAGCCCTGACCGGTTTGGCTCAGTGGATAGAGCATCAGCCTGTGGACTGAAGGATCCCAGGTTCGATTCCGGTCAAGGGCATGTACCTTGGTTGTGGGCACATCCCCATTGGGAGGTGTGCAGGAGGCAGCTGATCGATGTTTCTCTCTCATCGATGTTTCTAGCTCTCTATCCCTCTCCCTTCCTCTCTGTAAAGAAATCAATAAAATATATTTAAAAAAAAAAAGAATATCCAGAATAGCCCTAGTTTATTTGGCTCAGTGGATAGAGTGTCAGCCTGTGGACTGAAGGGTCCCAGGTTTGATTCCAGTCAAGGGCACATGTCCAAGTTGTGGGCTTGATTCCATTGTGGGGCGTGCAGGAGGCAGCCGATCAATGATTCTCTCTCATCGTTGATGTTTCTATCTCTCCCTCTCCCTTCCTCTCTGAAATCAATAAAAATATATTTAAAAAAAGAATATCCAGAATAGGCAAATCTGTATAGGTGTAGATTAGTGGTTGCTTTAGGGTGGGGATGGGGATAGGGGGATGTGAAGGCCCAAGGGATTATAGCTAAGGGGTGCAGTTTCTTTTGGGGGTTTATGAAAATGCTCTAAAATCGATTGTGGTGATGATTGCTCAATTCTGTGACTACATTAAAAGCCATTGAACTGTAGGCTTTAAATGGGTGAATTGCATGGTATGTGGACTTAATCTTAATAAAGCTGTTTAAAAACAAGTAAAACAAAAAACTTGGACCAACCTCCATAAGGGACTTGGGTGGTGCCTGTTATCTAGTAGAAGAGCAAGCAAATACTTATGGATATATACAGAATAGGGGGAAAGTAGTTTTACAGTTGTTTGTAATGCAACAATTAATAAATAATAATACAAGGATAAACTGTTTCACGTACTCACAACTGTAAACCTACTTTTGCCCCACCCTGTACATTGGCAAATACAAAGTAAATGAACAATTGCAGTGGGGTGGAATCAGTACCCTGCTGGGGAAGTGCAGGCTCCTGTGACAAGAGCACAGGGAGGGCGGCTTCCTGGAGAAATCTGGGATGTCTAGGTTGAAGCCTTTCAGGTGAGCAGGCTTATTAACAAGGCAAGATGAGGGGCAGGAAGAGTGTACCATGATGGGGCAAGCAAGCCCTGCCTTGAGTCTTCAGTGCAGAGCGAGAAGTTAGGTGGCAGAAGTGAGGCTGGAGAGGGGAATAGACTCCAAGGGCTTTGTGAGCCAGCTCTAGGGTGTTGGAATTTCCCCTAACGGAGAGCCCGTAGTGGTGGATTTATGTCTTAGAAATCACTCTGACTGCACTATGGAGAATGGATGGGAGAGGGGCAAGACCAGGGGCAGGAAGCCTGTGAGGGGGGCAGTTTTAGTGTCTGCATGAGAGGCCAACATGTCCTGGATCTGAGTGGTGTCAATGACGAGAAAGAGAAGTGGGTAGAATTTAGTAATATTTAGGGCATTTAATTGAGAGGATAAAGGTGGCTGAAATGAGGGGACAGAAGAAAAAGTCAAGGATGAGGCTCAGTTGTGTTGCTTGGATATCTGGGTAGTTGGTAACCCCAAGAGCCCTGGAGGAGAAACAGATTTTGAGATGTTGAGTGAATAGGATCATGCTGTTCAAAAGGAGTGTCTAGTCCGTCAGCACTTGGAGATATGGGGGTCTGGGGGGGAGGGGAGTGCCATGTAAATCACTGGCCTCAGCTTAGAGATGGCAGGCAGGGGGCTGGAGAAGGTTGTTCAGGGAGTGTGTTTCTAGAGCAAGGAGAAAAGGGCCTAGAATGGAATCCTGTGGAGTGATGTTTGTATAATGATGCTTGAGGAGGTGGTGGAGGAGGAGGTTTTAAGGAGACTCAGAGGAAATAACCAGAAACGTAGGTGTTAGCTATAGCAATTCATCTGCTTATTCAGCTGCTGTAAGTCAGCATTTATTGAGGTTCCATATGTCCTGGGTGTATTCAGAGACAAGTGAGACTTAACTGTTGACATCAAACTTAAACCATGGCCATCACCCCAGTACAGTCTTCTGAAACAAGAGGCCCCTTTCTTGTAGGCCGCTGACCGTCTTATTTTCTTACAGATAGATTGTTCTTCCTTAGCACTTTTACAGGCCCTGGAGTGCCTCCCAAGGTCACCCTCCTGTATTAACCAGGCCCAAAAGACCCAGGTCTAGCAGTCAAGCCTTCTGTCCATGGTGGGTGTATGGCCTGAACTGGATACTTCAAGGCTGTCAGGGGGCAGAAGGCAGAAGGAAGGAAAGGAGGGAACATGTCATATGCTGAGGGTTCAGCAAATTGTACCCACACACCAGGCATAGAAACACAAGAAAATCACCCCCGCTCTGTGGGTGAGACTAAGCAGCAGTCCTCTTCCCATCTGCTTTGCCTTCACAAACATGCCTTTTTTTCTTCTTCTTTTTGGTTCTCTGCAGCTTTGAATACATGAGGAAGAAGTGTGGGAGACAGGAGGAAAGGTAAGGTTGGAAGAGGACAAGAGGAAAGGAGGAGAGTGGCGGTGGGGTGGGGAGCGGGGGGTGAGCCTCCAGTGACCACCAACACAATAAATCAGATCCTGGACTACCTCAGCCTGGCCCCTTTTTTCTACAGTGCACTCTTATCAGTTTCCTCCCAGGAAGAGTCCAATGATGACAGCCAAGGCATGGCTGTGGCCTTGGTGGACTTGATTGATGGGGTACTGGGAGGGTGTCAGAGGCCTGGGAGGCCCACTTCCTTCTGTTCACCCCACAGAGGCTTACACAGGCTACACAGGACAGGCGGGCACAGACTTTCCCTACCCAGCTGCCTTTGAATCAGATGGTATCATCAACCTCCCGTCAGCTGGCAGAAGGCTCCTGACTCTAAGGAGTGTGGGGCAGTAGGAATGGATGCCTCCCTGAACCTGTATGACAGCAGGGTGGGGAGTGAGCAGTCCTGAGAGCAGCAGCTTTGCCCTGTGGGAGGCACCTGTGAAGCTGTGTGTGTTGAGGGAGGGGATGTTGTACAGGAGGGTGGACAGGGACTCTCCCTGCCCTCTATCATCTTGCAGACCTGGGCATGGGCCTGGATGTAGGAGGCCATCCAGTCTGACTTCAGGTTGCTGATGAAGAGGGATTGAGTAGTTTGATCCACACTGCTCTAAAGTAGGTAGGCTTGATGGGGCAAAGGATTAAGGCTCTTTTTTGTCTTGGCTTTGACAGTCCTTTACCTGGCTATGCTCACAGTACCTGCCCTGACCCTTGGCTAGGGTTGAATGCTAGGCTGTGGCCTGAGGACTCTCCGTATAGGGGATAGAAACTTAAGAGCCCTATCCATTTCTAGCATTGGCAAGCAGTGATATAGGGCCACTGTGACAGTTCCAGATGACCCTCAACTGGGATGATTTTTCCACCCTACATTTCTCGACTAGGCTGTCCTCTCCTGTGGATTGAGCTGTGTGCACTCCTGCCAGCCCAGTCAGCCATCTGCCCTTTCCCAGAACCTGGTCAGCCAGTGTTTACTTCCTCTTTCCCCACCACACAGGCTGTGCTTTGGATGCAAGTGGACAGTCCTGCCCTACCAGTGGGGCCCCAGGGTTGGTTCTTGGACTGCAACCCTCCTGCAGGGGACCTTGAAGCAGGCCCAAGCTGTGGCCGGCTCTGGGTGCTGGCTTGGTCTCTACCACTTGTTTGCCTTCTCTACCCTCTGCCATCCCAGCCAGCCTACCACCCCAAAAAGCTGAACTACACACCATCCCTCCCATGACACCCTTCACAGTTACAGAGGGAGCACAGAGCTGTGCCTAAGTGCTGAGGGCTGTCTGCCCGCCCGCAACCCCACCCGACTGGAATGAGCCACCTGCATCCACACACAGGTGTTTCCTGTGCTCCTTCCTGTTGCCGTTTCTTTCTTTTTTTTTTTTTCTGCTGCTCAGCGTGGCTTCCCCAGCAGGTGGTTAAGGGCCAGCCAAACCTCTTATACACATCTCCAAAACACTGGGGGGCGGGGCTCCCTGGGGATCTGGGTCACCCCCCCACAAGGAGGAACTGTTGGCACCTCATTAGCTCTGCCTGAGCGCAGGTGCACTTTCCCCCCCGTGTGTCACGGTGGACTCCAGGGTTGGGGAAGGCCCTGCCTGTGCACCGTCTCCCTTGCCTCTGGATAACGAAAGCTCTGGAGTGAGAAGGGAAGGGTGGAGGGCCAGTTTCTCCAGCCTTGGGTGTGGGCCTCCCTCAGGCCCTCCTTAGAACAGGCCTGCCATCCTGAAATCCCACCCCACCCTCCAGTTCCTCCCATAGAGCTCTTTGCCTTCTGGGGTTAACACACTTAACATGTGGCACCTCTGGGGACGAGATGAACCCTCCCTGGAGCCCTGCTTCCCAAAGCAAAACAGGTCAGCTGGCTGTGGAGGACCACGGGGTTCAGTCAGGGTTGTTTTTACAGAGAGGAGGTGGCTTGGGTAGAGGAGGGCCTTGTTATTTAGGGTCACTGGGCAGCCATCCTGGTCTCCTGCCGCGCAGGCCCTAGCTCTTCCCCTCTGCAAGGATCTGCTCTCTCTTACTACCCAGCCCTCAAGGAGCTCCTAGTGCTGTGCCCTCTGTAGGAAGCTGCCAGGGCTGAGGGGAAATCTAGAAGCCTGGCATTCTCGGACAGGGTTCTGCTGCCCCCTGGTGGCCAGGAGCTCCAGCCACCACCATGCCTTTTTTCTCTGCCTGCTTCTTCCCCTTTGCCTCCTGGCAGCAGGGTGCTAGCCGCTGGGGAGCCATTCCCAGGACTGGCACTCTGGGCCTTCTCTGGGCCAACTCCGTGGTTTGGCTCCAGCCTGGGCCCCTAGCTTCCAGGCCCAGAGCACGCCCAGCCAGCAGGCTGATCCTCAGCAACACGCCACCACCCTTTTTCTCTGCCCTCTTCTCCAAGCCCACTTCCAGCCCCTGGGCTCTCTTCCACCCAGATTTCCAGGGCAAAAGCACATGTCATTGTCACAGTTGGAGTGTGGGCATGTCAGAAAGGCCACAGCCAAAGGGTGCTGGAACCAGAAGATCAGGAGTACACTAGGCCAGGCCATGTAGGAAAGGCATTTTGCTTTTTTATTTTCTGTAAAACTCTGTAAATAAAATACAAAACCAAGGGAGGTGATGGGGCAGAGGCAGGATGGCCAGGCCCGGGGCACTGATCTGTGGCAAGTGTGCTGAGCTGAGGCTGGGAGGCACTTGACTGCAGGCACTGACTCTACCAACCCCAAGGGCAACTGAAGAATATATTAGATTTTCATGGATAGGAATACATGGGGGAGGGGTGTCTGGAACCAGCCCTCACCCTCCCTGCCACCTGGTGAGCCCTGAAAGTGGGGGGATGTGGCACTGAGAGCCAGTGTGTGGGGAGTTTAGAAGGCCGTGCTGGCCATGCTGCCGGGCCCGAAGATGCGGGGCAGGGCGTCCAGCGACTCTTCTAGCCGTCGGTGGGCAGACTGTCCCTCTTCCCCTGCAATGAGTAAGGATGGAATCAGGAGGAGCCCTAGCCTTGGTCCTCCCACCCTTGACCCCATCTCACCCCTACCCCCGTCAGCCAAAATGCCCCAGAACTCTACTTGACCTCTATCTCCCAGCCCCCAGCCTCACCACACTGTTGCAGGCTCTGCCGAGCAGCCTCCCTCACGACTTCTGTGTCCGTTTGGCACAGGTACACCAGGGGCTCAATGCCCTCAGGAGCCTATCAGAGGAGGAAGCACTGAGGTGGGCCCATTGGAGCAGATGGAAAAGCCCAGGGCCCAGGGTTGGGGGAGTCCCGAGGGGAGATAAAGGGGTTGGCAGGCAGGGATCACCTTGATGCAGCCTAAGGCCAGGCAGCCAGCCACTCTCGTCTGCACGTCCTCATCCTCGAGTTGGTTCAGGAAGCACAGTAGGGCCTGGGTAAGGGTAGGAGGGCACTTAGCCAGACGCTGGGAGCCTGGCACCCCAGCCTTTGCCTTCAAGGGAGCCCTGCCCCACTCTCACCCTTTCCCGGAAGGCAGGGCCTAGCGACAGGCTCCGGAGCTGGGTGCTGACAGCAGCCATGACCTTGTTGTTGCCATGGACGAGCAGGGAGCTGAGGGCCCGAAGCCCGTCCCTTCGTAGCCGCCCTTCAGGTGCCAACCTCAGGGCCTTGAGCACAACAGCCTGATCATCTGAGTTCAGGTTCTGCACCAGTAACACTGAAAGAAGGACCTTGGAACAATGTAGCAGGGCAAGGAGCTTCCTGGGGTGGGGTCTTCTGTACATTCATGTCCTCATCCAGACCTCAAGGCCCACACATACTGTTGGGCACTTGGTGATCGGGGCTACTGCCTCACCTTCCTCAGCGGTCTCCGTCACATAGGCCTCCATGGAGGGGCTGTCCAGGGTTTCCACATAACTCCAGAACTGGAAGACAGTGAGCTGCTCGCCAGGGCCTGGCTGGGGCCTCCTGGGCAGCTTCTGTCCCAGCATATCCTCCAGAAACTTGACACACACTGTGGGAAGCAGTGCCAAAGACCTCAGGGTTTGGGCGGACCCAATCCCTTAGAGGAAAGAGTGCTCCCACCCCAGGCTCAGGTCCAGGGGCCCCTTGTCCAAACCCTACCCATCTGGGTCCTCTTGCATCAAGGCACAAGCCTTTGCTATATCTTCTCAATGCTCAGCTCAGCACGTCTGTGTGAGCTGACCTGGCTTTCCCTGCGGTCCCATCACTGGGGATCTGAGAAGGGAGGGCAGAGGGGGCAGGCAGGCAGCCTACTCACCAGCCTCAGCTAAGCCTGGCTGGCGCAGGGAGAGCCGGGCACCGTACTGATTGCAGAAGGTGAGGAGCACCTGCTTCACAGGGCAGATGAAGGGGCTAAGTCCCTCTGTGCACTGGTCCCAGAAGGTCAGGAAGCCAGGCCGAGAGGCTGAGAACTGCACCACTGTGAGGAGGTGCAAGAGACCGTCAGCAACCGAGTAGGCAGGTGGGCAGACAAGTGTAGGTAGCGTAGAACAAGGAAGGAGCTTCAGGGCAGTCACCAAGCCAGAGCCCACAGGGCCTTTACCTTCCTGGGCAGAAGTAGCAGGGATTTCCCATCTCCTGCTAAGCTCGCATACCACCTCGAGCACTCGGGCCTCCCGCAGCAGTCGCTCCAGGGCCCATGCCTCCTGACAGCGTAGCGGCCCAAATGTGCCCAGTTTCTGGAGAATAGGGGTGGCCAAGTAGCTCAGATCTCAAGGTAGAACTTGGGGAGAGTGAAGCCCAGGGACTACAAGTCCCAGCATGCATTAGGAGAGATTAGAGGGAGCCAGAGTGTGGGAGGTGTTCAGTAAGAGCCAGATGCCAGGGACCTGGGGCATTGGGGAATGGAACTCAGAGCAGGTGTGGAGAGTTCCCTGAGGTAAAAGGAGCGTAGGGGGGAATGCCACTAGCCTCACCAGCAGGAGGCGGCTGCAGTAGTACAGGTGCTGGACCAAGGCAGTGTCCAGAGCTGGACACTCCGTGCTGAGGGGATGGGCACTGGGTGAGTTGAGGCTGTCTTCAGCCTTAGGCTCCAGGCTGCTTGGGGGCCTGAGAGAGAAATTGTGGCAATCACCTTAGGAGTACATATCACCATCTGGTCACCACTGTATTTTCATTAAGTCCCCCTCCCCCCCATCCCAGAAGGGAAGAACAGACGCACAGACAACAGACAGACAATGGGTAAGTTCACGGAGAAATTCCAGGAGGAAGGGGCTGGGACCAGCAGGTGTAGCAGTGGTCTTCAGAGTCCATCTGCCCTGTGCCACATCCAGCTAGGACTGTGGGGTTGCAAGGGGATGGTCTATGCAATGTGAAATGCAAGGGGCTGTGGCCCAAGGGGCTCAGGGCACAGGGCTGTGACCTGGGCAGCAGCAGATGGAGGAGGGGCCGGGCGTGACCCTCAACTTGGAATTTTCAAAG